GCACGACGGTCTAATAAATTATCGTCGGTTAACCGCGCAGTACAGTTAACTGAGGATAATTTGTTGAACGTTTTAAAAAAAAAACTCGATATGGGAATGTAGAATGCAACCTGGATGCTTTAAGGACAGCAGGATGTCCTACTTTATGCATAAAACATGCACCTAATTTACATGGGAGAATGCATCCAAAATGTCTCCCGCGGACACTATGGGTGCATAAAACTGAAATCCAGGCGCCTTCTTAAAATATGTTAATGCGTCTTTTACATGGAACTTCCATCTTACTAATAAAAATTGAGATCGTCTTTAACGCGAGTACATTTTTTTTTCTAAAATGCACCTCTGTTTTCACATTGTATTTGTAAAAGTCGAAACATCACAAGAAATACTTCGAATCAATGTGATGGTACTTTTGTTGAAGAACTTTTCATCAAAGTATGACAAGAAAAAATTACTTTTATGTATGCCAAAGGATACTCGACAAAATTTTTTTTTTCTCGACACGGAGTCTCTTTGATACCAAATACTGACATTAAAATACTTTCATGAGTGACAGCGAGGCAAGAATGACTGGTGAATGGCACAGATTTCAGATAACTTTTATTATAACAAAATACTGTCTGACACTTTTATTTTACAATATGAAAATTTGAAATTTAATCTATTTTTTTGTGTATTGTCTTCGGATTGTGCAACGAAACTACGAAACTGCGAAAAATCGCATTTTAATCGAACTAAGTTCAATTTTTCTAGTTTCTAATCCAAATTGCCATATTTTCCGCTTTTTCCATTTTTCTTTCTCAATTGAATGCAACTACTTTTCTGGTAAACATTATTTCCTACTAGTTCATCTATACATAGTGAATCATCATCCTTCTTAAATCTGATTTGAAAATGTCTCTTTATTGCGCCTAATAGTTCTTTCCCTTATGAACGTGTCGAGAAGTGAGAAAAAAATGGATGCTTTTCATTTTTTTTTCTCGCTTTTCGGACTTCTACAGATGCCAACTCGGTTTCTAGTGCTTTTATTGAAACAAAAAACACAAGAATAAAATCTACACAAAATTTTCTATCTTTTTGGTGCTTTAAGGCAAACTTTTTGAGAAAGCTTAGCTTTGAGGAAAACTCATGGCACTGGATCACCCGTTATCACTCTGTTTTTATAATAGAAAAAAAACAAAAAAAAATTGACAGTTTTCTCTGTTTGTAGCCCGTAGGTATTACGTATGCCTCGCGCGAAAATGTCATGTTACAAAAAGATCTTATTGGTAGTGTATCAGGCATTATCATGCCAAATCAAGCTCATCATTTCATTGAACGGCAAACAACATTAAATGGACATAAATTAATCTATACAGGTTTACAATCGTCATCGGATAGTGGTACAACATCAAATTCTCAACAAATGAAATCATATATATGGGAATATGATTCAAATGATAATTTTATTCGTTTAAGATATCCATCTGACAGTTATTCTATGTTAACACATATTTATAATCAAACATATCTCAATTATATATTCTATGATGGAATAAAAGTAATGTTTTCCTACGATATGAATGATAATCCGTCAATAATTAAAACGAATTATCCGTATGGTAGTGCTAGTCATACAATTTATAATCAATACAATGGTTCAATATTAAAACGTACAATTAATTCATTTAAAAATTTTCCTTATTTAACAACTATTTTTACGTACAATAAACCAATAACATCTACAATTCATGAAAATCAATTACGTTTAATTCCAAATACAAAATTAACATCATTTGATACTATTGATAATTACGAATATTTATCTTATAATTATACTTATGATCAATTTACCGGACGTTTAATAACTATTCAATCGACAATACGTTTTACTTATCCAACTGTTTATGAAACATTTATTAAAGATCGTTCAATAACAATTTTAAAACGTAAAGATGATTATCAACGATTAAAAGAGATAACATTTAATTTTAAAAATCAAAAACGAATTACAATTGAATATTTATATGATAATAAACGTTTAGTATTTGAACAAATGAAAATTCAAATTGCAACAAAATCTATAATTAATTATTATTATCGTTATGATTTATTAGAACGTATAATAGAAATACGAAAAAATGATATTGTTAAATATCGTTATGAATATGATTTAAATGGAAATATTAATCGTACAAATGATTATGAATCTATTCAATATAATCAATGGGATCAAATTATAAATATTCAAAAACAAACACCAATTATTTATAAATATAATAGTGATGGTTTTATGATTAAATCAGAAAATGGTAATAATATGTTTATATTTAATTCAATTGGTCTATTAATTAAATTTAAACAAAATAATGGTAAAAAAATTATTCAATTTATTTATGATTATAAAAATCGTTTAATTGCGAAATTTTATTCAATAACTGGTCGATATATTCAGTATATTTACGATGATTCATCTCAATCTGATCGTATTACACATATATATGATTCAAATAAACGATTAACAACAACTATTTTCTATGATAATAATGGACAGATATTTGCATTTGAATATAATAATAGAATGTATTATGTTCTAACAGATCCAATTGGTTCACCATTATTCATCTATGATGATAATGGAAATATAATTAAACAAATGGAATATGGCGCTTATGGTATGCCATCATTAACACAACAAGAAAAAGAGAATGATGATAATGAACAATATGAATTTTTATTACCATTTGGTTATAATGGAAAATTAATTGATTATAGTATCATGTGTGCATTTACTAATCATAATGGACGAATTTATGATTTAGAATTGGGACGATGGTTTACACCTAATTTTCCCGATTGGTCAACGATAAATCCACATATTAAAAATCCAATTCATGAAATGAATCTATACAAAGTCTATGAAACGAGTATTATCAATCAAGAATATATTAACTCTTTACACACGAGCGGTAAGTGTATGGAATATTTAACTAATTTGTTATATGATCTGATATGATTTTTCTATCTTACCAGAGAATGTCTCCAGATAATTGATATCCTCGTTTCTAATGAGTTTTACCACAATCGATAGAGCATATGCAAGTAGTAAAAAGCCTAAAGAGACTTTGCTCATGACTTCTTGTTCAAAGTTATAGACATTTTTCTGACTTTTCTCACTGAAACACGAGAAAATGAAAAATTTCATAACTTTTTTAAGACAAGAAGTTAAAGGCTCAGTTTTTTGTCTGTAGCTCTTCTGTATATTCCTGATATTCACAAATTGTGTCAGCTTTTCGTCAGGTTTCGTTCTCGAGTTATCGAATTTTTGAGTTTTCCACAGATTCATTCTTTGACACTCTAACAATACAATGGCTATAAAATCGCCAAAACTTCATCAAAACTTTTGAAATTTTTGGATATAATATAATCAACATATCTAATTCTACTAGTCATAGCATATCTCATCTAAAATACTCGAATTACACTTGGATATCTTCCATTGTGAGCAGATCTAATCAATTTATTTTCATATCATTTAGATTTGTCAATACGTTTGAACAATTTAAATTATAATTTTGAAAATTTATTTCATCTATTACAAACTTCAAAATTTTACACATTCATCACGAATCCATATTCGTTTTCACCATCAAATACAAAGACGTTGAACAATTTTAACAAGTTTTTGATACCATTTACCAAACGTTTTAAATTCATAAAACCGAATCGTTTCAATTATCCAATTGCCATTAACCATCAAGAATTTTGGAAAAATCGAACATTAACGCTACTTGATCAAAATTTGGTTCATTATATATCCTTGTTGCCATCGTCATCGTTGATAACCGATAGCTTCTTTTCGATATTGTTAAATAACTCACGTTTAATTCCATTTATTAATAATGAAAATTATTATTTTATCAAAGATGATTTCAATGAATTTGAAAAGTTGAATAATCTAATCAATCAACCAAATACTGAACAAATGATGCAATTAAATCAACAATTTAAAAGTAGTATTCGACATGATAAAGGTCAAAATAATGCTGATGTCACTATTTATGGAAATACAACAATATTTCATGTTCGATATGGTACAACGTATAATGAAGAAATAACAAGATTAATCGAAATAAATTTGATACAATTGAAAAAATGTGTTTGGAAACGTGAACGATATTATCTAATGGAATATAATCGAGAAAAAGTATATTATTATTGGTCAGAAAAGGAAATTGATGATATCATTGTAGCAGGTGAATTACACAATTATAATGTTGTTTATCGTTACGATCCATTGGAATATCCATTACTAATCGATGATTGCAGTAACTTTATGTTTATGCCAAAAAATACGGGATGAACATCAAAAAGAGAGATACAATAGGTTTATAATTAAAAAAGTCTTGAAATAACGAAGATTCGAGTAGTAGAGATAAAAGAAATTGAGCTTCCTCTAGTCGTCCAAAGACGGAAACTACAGAAAATGAAAAATTTGCAATAATTTCTGGAAAAGACCATATAAAAGACAAATTAGAGTGAGTAAGTGAACATCTGGTGTCACTAGAAGAACGCTCTCGCCACGAGAAAAGAAGCTAATAAAGATTAAGAAGAAAAAGAAGAATCGTTTTCATTAACGAAAATCGTGCTTGCCCATGTTGTACGAATGATGTCTTACCGGTGAATTGAAGACATTTTAAAGACAAATCAATGGGTGTTTCCGTCCATTGATGATATATTATGTGTGTGATTGCACGCGAATAACAAAAATAGAGACGATGTTTTCTGTTTATCTGTGAATAAATCACTTTTAAAAAGTGACAGTATTTAATAAAGGTCTTCTTTTTTGATTGGGAAATTGATATTGTAGAATAGAGTTATATATATTAGATGACTCAATCATACAGTATTCTTTTGTTCTTCGATGTTGTTATTTAAATCAGTTTGTTGTTTTTCTATTGATAAAAGATATGATTTTTCAGTTGACTGAATAATTTACTATGATTTTCTGTGCCTTTTTCGTGTACGTTATGAATTTGAACAAGTAAAGATAAAAACGAAAAAATCTACGAACTGTATTATATAAAGAAAAAATGAACTTACATCAACGGATAGAAAAAACGTTTTTTACGTTGTCAACATAAAACTATCCCGCACTAACAACTTCATGGTTCGACATAGTTAATCAACAGTAAATACAAGCAACTCCCAATCATTATGGGCTAAATGTGTCATTCTTTAGTGCTGTAGAGTTGCTTGATAGTCACTCTGTCCCTTGACTTTCGGAACTTCCCAGGTCCATGATTACGATCATTGTATACTATAGTATTTTGACGTAAACTCGGCCAACGTATTACGTCAATCGTTACGACTGTCGTATTTCATCGTATCTCAACGTAAACGACATGGTTTACGACTGACGTAATACGTTGGCCGGGTTTACGTCAAAATACGACAAAATATTATAGTATACGATCCCGAGTTTTTGACCTGGGTTATATGTGCGAACGACCTTCCATGACTTTTAAATCCAAGACAACGCGCAAGCCTCCCTTCAATCGGCGTTCGTTAGAAACCTATCTAAAATATACTATGAATTTTTCTCTCATTTGTTGTGTAAGATTCGCAATCTAATGTAAGTCTAAGAGATTTTCTGGAGATCCTCCAAAAATCTCCAAAGGTATAAAATTATTTTTGAATTCAAGAAAATGCTCACACCTCCGTTCGGGCGGCATTCGCAACCAGGACAACTGAGAAATATTATGAACTTCTATGGTTCCACAGAAAAAGCGCACAATGTAATATAAAGCTAAAACGTTTTCTGAACACCCTCTGAAGATCCGAAGGGAGGCTATAAGTATTTTTGATGGATTTGCCGTGATAGATTATCTATATTCTGTAACTTTTATTATCCGTAGATGACTTTTTGTGTTATCAAAATTGACTGATTTCTGGCGGCATTTATCTCCCAACTACCAAAAGTTTGCGTAGCTTTTTTTCTCTCTGCATCAGTAAATATTATTTCAGCCATCTCTTTGAATATTTTCTCGCTCGTGCAAAAAACGAACAACTAATCAAAAAATTTTATCCGCTTGCGGAGGATGTAGTGAGAAGACTGTTTAAAATAAATTTGAAAGTTGGCGTTTGACAAAGTTTTACAATCAGTACTCTCTAAAAAAAAGTCGCATTCTCGAAAACTGAAAGGAACGGTTTGCATCCGAAAACCAAAATGGGTTTCCCACAAGCTCTCGAAAACTGAGATGAGCTTCCGAGCTAATCTCGGAAACCCATCAAAAGGTTTCTAAAAGTTCAAATAGGTTTCGGAACCTTCGGAAACTTTTATCCGTTTCCTATAGTTTCATTTTCGGAAACCTTTTAAGCGTTTCCGAGAATTTTGTAAGGTTTCCAAGAGTTCGGAAACTCTTAAAGGGT